CTGCTGGGTCCCCGCAGCAGGCCCCGGCTCGGGAGGTTCGGGCCCAGGCGCCAGAGCCACAGCCGCCGAGCTTGGCCATCGGCCGCTTCCTCCCCCCGCGGCAGTGGGAGCTGCAGCAGCGGCTGCTCCCGAGTCCCGCTGCCCAGGGGGGGAGAACAGCCACCGCCTGGCACCGCAGGCCGCCACTCTCCTCTCCCTACCACCCAACTGAGTCCTGCCTGCACTCAGCGCCAGGCCGGACTCTTACTCACCCCGGCCCCGCGCTTCCCCTGCATCTCCGGGGCCTCCCTCCAGCACTTGCTGAGGGAGGAGGAATGGTGAGCCTGGGGAAGAGGCGGGGATTTGGGGAGGGAGCCAATCGGGGGAGAAGGGGTGGAGTCGGGGCGGGGGGGGAGGCGAGCACTTCCAGGCTCTGGAGCATTTCCTTGTTTGTCCCGCGTCCCGACCGCACGTCGGTCGGGACGCGGGACAAACAAGGAAATATCGGGACAGTCCCGATAAAATCAGGACGTCTGGTCACCCTATACCTACTATCCCAGGTACTTTTGTCACTAGTACTTAGGGACAGATCTGACATGTCAGTACACTTTCCAAGTCACCTTATCCACCCACGTGGGGATTTTCCTAAGACCAGAAGGACCATGGCCCACCACTTGGGACAGGGACATAGACTTTAAGGTCAGAAGGGACCATTATGATCTTCTAGTCTGACCTCCTGCAGCGACAGCTGCCTATACCATGCATGGACAGATTTTCTGGAACCCCACAGAGTGCTTTGCTTGGGGCTGCTGAAGGTGCCATGAGAACATTCTGCTGGCCAAAGTCACCCAGGCATCCAGACACTGCTGGAGGCCCTAGGGGCTGGGAACATGTATCTGTTGCCTCTGTCCCTCACTGTTTCCGGAGCCATGATGCAAACTCAGTTGTTATACTAGCCGAGAAATGGAGGCTGCCCTCTTGGCATGCCAAGGATCAGTGTGATCTCTTGGTGTGCAGCACTCTGCCTGCATTGAACAGTTTCCTGGCACAAAGCACAACCACCGGACGTACTGATCTTCACAGATGGGCACGCTCCTCTGCTGCCTCCTCATCCTGCACCTGCGCACATCTGCTGCAGCACTGTAGAAGTGATCTGCAGTGCCTAGGCTCCTGGATGCATGACATCCTCTTATTGGACACTTACCCAGATGAATGTGAAAGCAGGTGTGGGAGGCTTCCATCAGCGCTGTGCTGTGTTTGGGATATTGTAATGGACTGCTGCTACTTACAGACCATTCACTGAGTCTGATCCAAAGGGTGCTACGGCATTGGACAACACCAGGCCATGCGTTCAAGGAGGGTTTGGGAAGGATAAACTTGTCCATAAAATATCCCCTGATCACTTGTGAACCTGCAGCAGCTTGAGTTCCCTGCTGGAAAGAAAGCAAAGGCTCTTTCAGAGTCCTTTATAGCATGCATGCTTCCTCCACAGGCGTCCAGTGGTTCCAGCAACAGTGATGGCGAGAGAAAAGATTAAGAAGATTCTCTGACAGATCTTTGATGCTGTATCAGCGTTTATTTTAATCAAATGATCATTAGAAAAGAATTTACAAGACCTGTGCTCATAGCTCGATTATGCCACCACAGATAGTAACAGAAACACCCTAGAATCAAATACAGGGCTGGTATTCTCACACACTGAATTGCTTAAGGACACTTAAAAACAACTGTGATCCAAAAGGATTTGCCCAGACGCCCATCTTGATTCTGAATGGGTTGTTTGTTAGCCTACGGCACCGTGGACCTCACAGAGCTTAGAGGGGTCGGCCTTCTCCACCACTTTGTAGCTACAGGTCTCCTCGTAGAATATACTTTCACATTTCTCTTCGTCATAGATCCTAGGGGTGATAACTCTGTCAGTGGGAAAAACAAAGCAAACACAAGTGTGTGAGATATGTCAGGATACTACAGAGAGACAGCAAATGTGGGCTGTGACTCTCCACTTGGTTACTCTGGGTTTATGCTAGCGTTAGTTCACTGAAGTCAAGGAGCACTTACCCTGGAGTAGTGGAGTGGAGAATCAGGCCCTTAATACCTGTTGTGTACCTGTGTGCAGGCCAAGAGCTTCAACTGTTGGTAAGTGGCAGTTATTAGAATTGTCACTGTGCTATGTGTCCTAGCCTAATGCTATTTCATGATGCTTAGTGGAACTCGAATTGAGCTGCTCTATGTTCTAACAGACATTTGTCTTTTTATCGTCTCTCTGGCAAACCAAGAGCAAAAGTCCCTTTTATTTTATGATCCCTGCGTATGAGTGTCATGTCTGGGCGAACCCACCCAGTGTTAGGTTCTGACATTTGGAGCACCTACAGTGCTTCCTTTGGAAGTTTGTGGGCAGTCCTCATTGCTATGAACACTGCCAAATTTCTGTGCCCCACTGAACAGGGGAAGGGATCTAGTTACACATACATACTGTACTTCACTGGGACTGTGTGAGGATTAATCAGCAATTTAAAAATAAATCATAATAGGTGGTTATTATTAGAGGTAGAACTGCATCTCTATGTGTCAGCACACTGAAATGAATTTAAGAGGGGCTTTTAGAAATGCCCTGTGTGGAAATGTATATTGGGTGTGATTAGACGTTTCAAATTGTTCATTTAGTGCAGTGTATTTCAGGAGCTTTTCTCGCTCCAAATTCTCATATATGTTGTTAAGAGTGTCCCCAAAGTGTATTGAAACAGGTGACCTGCAAAAACACTTCTCCTTAAAACATTCAGTTTCTCCGACAGTAGATTCTCCTACAGACAAGCATCTCTAGGGAACCTTCATTAGCTCCCAGCGAGACATGGACTACTGAAACTTTTTACTTTGAAAGGGATCCCCTAGAGGATGGGGAAAAGCAGTAGATGTGATGTACCTTCATTTTAGAGAGGCTTTTGAAACAGTCCCATGTGATTCTCAAAAGCAAACTAGGGAAATGTAGTCTAGATGAAATTATTATAAGTTGGGTGCACAACTGGTTGAAACATCATACTCAAAGAGTAGTTATCAATAGTTTGCTGTCAAATGGGGAGGGCATGTCTACTGGGGTCCCACAGGGGTTAGTCCTGGGTCCGGTACTATTCAGTATTTTCATTAATAACTCGGATAATGGAGTGGAGAGGATGCTTATAAAACTTGCAGATGACACCAACCTGGGAGTGGCTGCAAGCACTTTGGAGGACAGTTTTAGAATACAAAAAGACCTTGACAAATTAGAGAATTTGTCTGAAATCAACAGGAAATTCAATAAAGAAAAGTGCAAAGTACTAAACTTTAGAAGGAAAAATTCAATGCACAGCTACAAAACGGGGAATAACTGGGTAGGTGGTAGTAAGGCTGAAAAAGATCTGGGGGTTATAGTAGATCACAAATTGAATATGAACCGCCAATGTGACGGAAAAAAGGCTAATATTCTGGCCTGTATTAAGAAGAGTGTTGTATGTAAGTCATCAAAGATAACTGTCCCTCTGTAGTTGGCACTGGAGAGGCCTCAGCAGGAGCATTGTGTCCAGTTCTTGGTGCCACATTTTACAAAAGATATAAGCGAATTGGAGAGAGTCCAGAAGAGAGCAACAAAAAATGAGAAAAGGTTTAGGAAACCTGATCTATGAGGAAAGGATAAAAAAAACTGGGCATGTCTAGACTTGAGAAAAGAAGGCTGGGGGAGAAGGGGACCTGATAGTCTTCAGATACGTTAAGGACTGTTACAAAAAGGCCATTGATCAATTGTTCTCCATGTCCACTGAATGTAGGACAAGAAGTAATGGGGTTAATCTGCAGCAAGGGAGCTTTAGGTTAGATATTAAGAAAAGCTTTCTAACTATATGGATAGTTAAGCTCTGGAATAGGCTTCCAAAGGAAGTTGTGGAAACCCCATCATTGGAGGTTGTTAAGAATAGGTTGGACAAACACATGCCAGGGATGATCTAGGTTTACTTGGTCTTGCCTCATCATCAAGTCCAGCCCTCTTTGCTATCTCAAGGTCCCTTCTAGCCCTGCATAGAGGTTTTTAAGGCCTGGCTTGACAAAGCCCTGGCTGGGATGATTTAGTTGGGGTTGGTCCTGCTTTGAGCAGGGGGTTGGACTAGATGACCTCCTGAGGTCTCTTCCAACCCTGATATTCTATGATTCTATGCCCATAACTCAAAAAGTTCTGGATCAAATTAGCTCAGATTAAATTTTACCTTTGGGCTGAGACCAAGCAAAGAATGTTACATGTGCGTGCACACACACAAGGAACATATTTCAAATGTGGGCAGTTAAAAATGGGTGGTGTGTGGAGTTAGAATGGCAGTGCCTTCTCTATCTCAGTTACAACTACTGTGAACTCTACCATAGGATGTAGATTACTGTGTGATGAGTAAGTTAGGGTGGTCTAGTAGTTGGAGCGGGGACTGTTCATGTTCAGAGTGTTTGAAATCACAATCGATGCACATTTTGCACATGGGTCCATCTTTGAACCCAAATCTGAGATCTGAATCCCCCTTAAATTATTTTGGGGGGAGGTTATAAAGCTTACTCTCAATCCAAATTGTTGTGACTTAAACCCACTTTTATTTATTCTTTAGTATAATGACTTGTTGAGTCGATGTAACGGCAAAAATTTCTCTCAGGAGAGCTGTGCCTTTGGAGTATTTGAATTGAGTGTATAGAACCCATCCTACCATAGCCACTAAGGGGTTAACAGGTAGAATCATAGACTTTAAGGTCAGAGGGACCGTTATGATCATCTAGCTGACCTCCTGCACAACACAGGCCACAGAATCTCACCCACCACCTCCTCTGCCACAGCTAATTGCTGGGACATTGACAGCTGGAATAAGAAGGTAGCAGATAAGACAAGGGGTGGCTGCTAGAAAGGCTGGGAACTCTGGAGAGGAGACTTCTCAGCAAGCAGACCGGCAAGATGCTGCACCAGGAGTTGGACTTCCAGAGAGAGACAGAGAGGGGTCTGGAGGGAGTAGTCCTGTGGACAGGTGGAGCAGGTAGGAAGTAGCCCAGGGAAGCAGCAAGGGATTGTAAGGAGCAGGTTCTAACTGCTTAAACACAGAGTTCCTGGGCAGAAACCCTAGAGACAGGGCTGGGCCTGGGTTCCCTCGAAATGGCGATAGTAAAGCCTCCCTGAGGAAGAGGGTGCAGGGCTGGGGCTGATGACCTTATATAGGGACACTGGACTGTCAGCCTGTGGGACTTATTACCCTGGAAGGGATGTGATTATAAGTGAGCTGGCTGGAGGGCTGGTGTGGTGAGGTGAGGCGGACTGTTGCAGGGCCAAACAGCTGTCTGGTGGGGGAAACCTGAGGCAGAGTTGCTGCGAAGCCACGCAGGGCCACGAGGGGATGGACTGGCTGTGACGTCACCACGACAGCTTTGTATTTTCCCCACCCCAGAGAAATCTGAGTGTGTGGCCTGAACCCTGCAGGAAAAATCACTGTGCATTTATTTTATACTTACAGGCTGCAGCACCCCATTGTTTCCTTGCTACAGCTACAGCTCTGGCAATCCTTCGTTTTCCATTTGGAGTTGAATTCATGTAGCACTCCATTCTCATCAATGCAGCCTGAAAGGACATAACCAACTTGCTGGTACATGCCAACAGTACAATTAACTTAAAATTGTTTATCAAATCTGGGTTTGAGCTTGGTATATTTAATATGAGGCTGGAGTGTAATTTGTTTGTTCTAAGTCTTATATAGCACCATAAACTCTAAGCCTGCTAAGACCCATTCCCTGTCTAAAGGACGTAACAATCTAAACAAGAGGAGACAGACCAATGTAAGACCCTGGACAATTCAGGAGACAGAGAGGATTGCAGTTGAGGAGAGATTGCTTGAAAAGCTAATTCTCCTCTCGGATCCCACTGAATCAAATTATTGGCACACATTTTTAAGGCCTGATCTAAAGCCCATTGAAGTCATGGACAAACTCCTGTTGACTTCAATGGCCTTTGGTTCAATTGCTAGTACATTTCAAATTCTTGTGATTAGGGCCCTGGCTTGGGACTCAGGAGAGAAGAGTTCAATTCCCAGCTCTTCCAGAGATTCCTTGTGTGACCCAGGGTAGGTCAAATAATCTCTCTCTGCCTCTGTTCCTTATATGGAAAATGGGAATTACTTCATCACCAGGGAGGTAATGTTTCATTTTTGAGTCAGTTCCCTTACCTTACAGAGGCGTTGTGAAGATAATTAGTGTTTGCAAAGCACTGAAATACTAGGATAATAGGAGCCAGCTAGTAGAAATTGTTCTAATAGCTCTATCAACATGTTTTTGGATGAAAAAAAACCCACAAAAAAATCAAAACTTTCCATGGGAAAAATTTCAACTTTGCCAAAAAAACTGATTTTATTCCTCACCAAGCTGGGCAAAGCCAAATAGAAATGTTTTAGTTTTCCAAACCAAAATGTTCCATTTAATGTCAAACTGACCCAAATCTGTGTCTGCCTTGAGCTTCTGCAGTGCCTCATGGGAGTTGTAGTTTGGATGTTTCTTTGAGTCAGGTGCCCCAGCTGGACTACATCTCCCATGCTGTACCATTTTGTTCCCATTGGTTGAATTGCTGCAGTGGCACATGGCCATGATGCATCATGGGAGATGTCGTCCAGCTGGGGAGACTGGACTACAGATAGAGGTTTGAGGCTCAGCGGCATCTCAGGAGGACAAAGATTAAGGCTGAACTAGCTGAAATGAAGTGTTTTGATGTTTCTGAATCATTATCAACCAAATTTGTAATCTCAAACCTGAGTTCGTTATTTGATAAGACCTATTTTCCAAAAAACAATGTTGAGTGGCATTAATTATATTTCTGTCCTCTAATTCTTTATTGATGGAATCCCACATCAGCTTTGTTGTTTTTCCCAACACTTATGTCAGGGTAACTCTGTCTTATTAAAAGGGTCATTTCACTTGCCCTTTATGCATATTATCACAGCACTTACATCCTCCCAGTCCTCTGGAATTTCCCCAGTATTCCAAGATTTATTAAAAATGGCTCAGATCTCCTCAGCCAATTCTCCTACGGCTCTTGGGTGCCAGTTATCTGGGCCTGCTGATCTTTAAAATGTTATCCCTAGCAGATGCCATTTAACATTCTCCTTAGTTGTTGCTGTTTATCATTTGTGTTACCATGGTGCTTACCCCATTGTGCTAGGTGCTGTACAAACACAGAACAAAAAGACTGTCTCTGCCCCAAAGAGCTTACAATCTAAGTATAAGACAAGAGACAGCAGATACAGGCAGGAGTATAAGGAAACAATGAGACAATATTGGTCAGCATAATAGGCAGTGGTCTCAGCACACCAGCACCATAACCCAATGTCAAGTTTTTTGTAAGCATCATGGGAAAGGAGAGTTATGAGGAGGGATTTGCAGGTGGATAATGAGGTAGCATTGTGGATGTTTTCAGGGAGCTCCTCCAAAGTGTGTGGGGCAGCATGGGAGTAAGCACAAAGGGGCTTGTTTGCAAATTTAACAAGTGAGCAATAGAAGTTGGCATAATGGACGAGTTGGAGGTGGGAGTTGACATATTAATAAATAATGAGAGATGAGAAGTAGGGTGGGGACAAATCATGAATGGCCTTGAAAGTAGTTCCTCCTCCTAGTAATACACCATCCTGCTTCTTTCCAAATACAGAACAGAAATATGTATTTAACACCTTCTTTGTATCATTATCAGCAACTTTACCATTTCATCTATTAATGAACCTGCACAATTGTTAGGATTTCTTTTGTTCCAGATATCCTTTAAAAAAAACCTCCTTGTTGCCAATGGCCCTGCCAGCCGTGGACACTTCCCTGATGTGTTTAGCTTCCCATATCAACTTTCTACAATACTTCCAATTTATATTGATTGCTAACTACTTCCCCTTTTTTCCAATTAGTTATATGCATATTTCTAACTGCTGCCTTCAGTTCTCCTTTTAACCAGGATGGCTTTTTAATTAAAGTTATCCCCTTTCACAATTATGAAAGTGTGGCTTATTGGCCATCCAATAAACTCTTCTTAAACAATTCCTAATTTTCATTCAAATTTTTCCTCAATCAATTTTGTTCATAATTTTCCTCAGCCCTAGGAAATTAGCCTTAGTTCTCGTTGCTGTGTATCTCCCCCCCCACCCACACACACACCCTGCCCAAAAAAACCCTGGAAACTAACCAACCACTGCAGCATGAATCATCGTCTCCTTTTATGAGTCTAAATATGTTCCTTCTTGACCCAGATAACATAAAATAGAAGGGTAAATGCCAATTAAAGTGGGCTCTGACTGCATGCAATCAGATAAATGAACTCTAAGCTTGTTTACCAGATCAGATCCATTGGGGGCCAGGTTTTCAAAGGTCCCATTAGGACGTCCATTGACACCTTTATCCATGCATTTTCCTGCTACCTTAGAATGATACCTACTTTCAGGAAGCCCATGGACCTGCACGGGCAAGCTGAAAATTATGCCTGACAAGACCATGTTCAAGGCACGGCCACATGCACAGCAGAGAGACTTTTTAAAAGGGGGATTCAGAATGCTGTGCTGTCTGCTGTCTCTGTATGTGTTCAGGTGCACTGCTCAGCCTGGTCCTGGTAGTCATGAGAGCAGCCAGCTTGCAACGTGGCAGGTCTTGGCACTGCTGGAATGCACCCCTACACAGGCTGGACACAGTGCATTTTAGAACAGTGTTCACCACCAGTACACTGGGCAAGACACTCCAGGCAAAAGGTTTGTGCATGCTACAGCCTGGCTGATTCCGTGATGTCCCCAGTGCTCCTGCATCTCTCATCTTCTCCTGCCTCTTCTCTCTTACCCACCGGAATGCAAACACTTGTCGAACTGATGCTTGTTCTTGGGTGTCCCCCAAGAAATCTGCTAGCCTTCATCTCCCACATCCCCCCACCCACCAAAGTCCTTGTGTCAAAGACTGCCTCTTCTGAACTGCAGTGGAAGCCCTCCATTGGCTGTTGGGCCCTGAACCTTCTTGGCGCCATGACCGGCTCGTGTTTGGGTAAATTACCATAATCTCATCCCATCCAGTTCTGAAAATAAGAGCTGCACAACTCTTGAGAGCCGGCCCCCCACAGCCTTCACCCACTTGTGCCTTTTATGAACACATGTCCGGCTGTTCCTTTGAAAAATCTCTGAACAAACGCCACTTGTGCCCCAAAATCCATATGTGTAAGGACTCTTTTGGCTGTGCAAACTTTCAGAAAACTATTCTGGAATGTGTAGCATCACTAACACTTCCCCAGTCCCCTTTCTCTCATGGCCTCAGTTTACCACCTTCTCCAACAGTAAATCTGTATTCAGGACTCACCAGCCACCCCACGTCCCTCCCCATCTTCCCTGGTTTCTTGTCCCTGGTTAGGTTTCAACAGACAGGTGCTAAATTTGGCAAACAACTCTGTTCTCAGTGATGCGCATGGAGAAGGCCAGATTCCACACTGAGATCTGCTGAGGTAGTGCAAAGGGGCCAGAAATGGACTGCATACAGCCAACAGGTAATTCCCCTGGAATAGGGGAACTTTTTGCTGGCTTGCACCAGCCTCCTCCCTCCCCAGGGGACTGTGACACCTCTCCACCAGTGGCTACACCAGTGGGTTAGAGCAGCGTCTCAGTTGCTCTGCGCTTTATTGGGGCAGTGGCCAATGAGTTCTCAGGATCTGTGATGTTCCCTCAGAAGAACTTAGGCACCGAAGAGAGTCCAGACAGCAGGATTTCTTACCTTGTGCATCAGATTCAATTCTTGTCAGCCAGCATTGTGCATCGCATAATGTCACTGAGGCGACAATGATAAGGAGGCCCAACATGTGCATCTGTAAATGCCAGACGACTCAAACATAGTCACTTGAAAGTTCATAGCTAAAAAATTGCTTATTAGCATAGAAATAATCAGGACACATCTCCTTATTGATTAATAAATTCACAGAGGGAAGCTACTCCTCAGCAAAACACTTAAGCATGTGCTTAATTTTAATGTAGCTTAATTAACCTGTTTAAGCCTGTGGTTTCTTGCTCTGACAGATCAAAGCCTTAGAATCAGGTGGAGGCTTTTTCTACAGGGGTAGAAATCCCTGGGAACAATTGTGGGTATGAACCTTATCTTCATATAATTAGTCCATTTATTATAGTGACATCCCACTCTGCCCAGTTGGAGAATTTAACTCCACCGGCACTATTTCTTTGTTTAGTTATGCCCGACCTTTCCTGACACCCACATCATGACATCAACTTTCTGTGCTCTTCGTTTCCACCTATTAATATTCCAGCAGTTGGCAACACTTCAGAATTCCCCTGGGATAGCACTTGACTGTCTAATAAAAAGTATCAGACATGGAACGCTTGCTCCGTACTGTTGCACTGTAAAAATGATTTATACCGCGTTAGGGTCAGAGAGAGCTCATTGCAGCCAGTCAAAGGAATAATAGCATATTGACACCTTGCCTAGAGGGTGTGTTCTTGCCATTTCTTTTCAGCCTGCCTATGCTGAGAGCATCATAGTCTGATGTAGTCATGCCTGAATGCCTTTCAGTTTAGTCCCAGGACTAGATACATCTTTTGGCCTGTCTATATTAGAGAAATTTAGCCCATTAGTCTTTGGTTGGCCCAGTCCCTGTATCAGCATTTTGCTTGCTATACAATCACAGTGAATCACACCACCCTTGTACAAAAGCCACCTGATTCTAAGCCTCTTTGCATCACTGAGCGTGGTGCAAAGGGGCCAGAAACTGGCTGTATACGGGCAGCAGAGAATTCCCTTGGCAAGAGGCAAACTTTCTGCTGGGGAAAAGATGCTGCAGCCAATTCCTGCAGGAGCTTCCTCCCAACCCCAGTGTAGGGCAAATATCGGTATGGTCACACCTGTCCTCCACTAGCATGGAGCTGACACCAGTGCCATAACCTGAGCAGCCCCTCAGTTGCTCTGAGCTTTGAGACTGATCCAAATCAGGGAGCCATAACTGGTTTCCCGGTGCTCCCTCTCCAGAGCTTGGGCACAGAGGAGAGTCCAACCCTGAGGCAGGATTTCTTACCTTGTGCGGCTGCATTAATTTAGAATGACAATATATCTATTGTTTTCCCCTCTTGTGTCCTTAATCACAAAGGCTGAATTTGATGGCCATTTTAGGCTGAGCTCCTCCTGGTTCCATTTTAGAAGTGGAGGGCTGGAGGCTGGGTCACCTCTCATCACCTGAGTGAATTTAGTGCTGGTCAAACAAGGAATACATGCCCTCTGCTGAAATTGCCAAGAGTGACAATCAATGGTGGTTGTAGTGCAGATATTCTTCCACTAGGAGCTGCACTGAGACCAGAGCTGGCCTAATAATTCAGTGCAAACAATATTCTGCACAAATGTGGGCGTTTTCCCCCATGCAAACAGGTTTTTTGTTTGTTTGTTTGTTTGTTTTTTTACAAATGAATTATTCCAGTAGAGACTCCTGTGACGTTATTGATATAATCTGGGACCATATAGATCATTGTTGCAACCAAGGTCCTGTAGTGGCACGCAAATCTTG